GAACTGAGTTATAAACGTGTAAAACACCAGACCTCATGTTCTTGTTCCTTTTACTATGAGATCAATACAGGTATTATTACATCGAATTGAATAATCAACGGAAAAAAAGAGGAGGAAAATGACTTTATTTATGGCAAGAAAGCTCATCTAACATGGAAGAAAACAGTTTTTAACTATTTTGAACAATCAGATTCGAATACCACCGCGTGACACCCTTTCTCAATACCGCATTTATCTACATCAACACCTCTATTTACTCAAAAGAATTTGACAAAGTCCATGAGAGTAAATCATGAAAATACTCATTTTGTTTTAAAATAAAAAAATTTGTGTCAAATAATACGATTGTTTTCAACTTCTACTGCAAAACATACTATTTTTTTATGTGTTATAACTATTTTTATTATGCAGTTTGTTTTATTATTGGTTAAAGTATGTTTATAGGTAGCTAATAAATAATGTTTTTATTTTTTTAAAAAATAAAGACTTAAATATTTTTTTTAGTATATCATATATATTATAAGCAAAGTAAAATTTTGAATTAAAGCTCTCTCATTTAATTTCGGAGTGGTTAATTACCCTCTACCCCTCCTTATATTTTTCTAAAATAAAATTTAATAAAAAAATTATTAAAAATCGAAAATTAATAAAATTTATTATTAAAAATCGTAAATTAATAAATAATTATTAAAATCGGAATTTAATAAAAAATATTTAAATTTTTAAAAAATCTTAAAAATCGTAAATTAATAAAAATTATATAAATCGGAATTTAATCAAAAAACATTTAATTTTAAAAAATTATTAAAAATTGAAATTTAATAAAAAACATTAAAATAATTTCATATTTAAAAATCGTAAATTAATAACAAAATTATTAAACTCAGAATTTAATAAAAAATATTTAAATTTTTTAAAAATATTAAAAATCGTAAATTAATAAAAAAATTTATAAATCAGAATTTAATAAAAAAACATTTAAATTTTAAAAATTTATTAAAAATTGTAATTTAATAAAAAAACATTAAAATCATATCATATATACTATATGCGAAGTAAATTTTTCTCGATAAGTTCTCTTATTCAATTTAGGTGACTAATCATCATCGTATATATTAAAAGCAAAGTGAATTTTAGCTTTAAAGACATCTCATTCAATCTCAGCGTGGTTAATTATTTTTTTTGTCCCTTTCTAAAAAGTTATTAATATCCTTTAATTGGTTAAAATTAAGTTTTATTTATAATTAACTATACCAAATTTTGTTACCATGAAGTTAATATTGGATCTTTTAATGCTATAAAATTGTATGGTTTTGTATATGAAAGCCCCAAGGCTCTCACTTTAGCCCTAATCTCCGATTAGTCAGAGCTTCTTCTTCAACCGGTGGTTTCTGTGTTTTGACGTTTGAGTTGTATTGCTTTATTAAAATTTTTGAATTAGGGTTTTTTGTTTAAAAGCTTTGGGTCTTTGTTCATGATGAATGATGACGATTTAGTATTTAAGCTTTGTGATTAATTTCCATCGATATTGCTCTATACGTCTATGACCGATCGGATCTCATACTGTCTATGCTCCTCCATCTCAACTTTGTTTCTGTTTTTGGAATGTGTCTGGTTTATCCAAAAATAATTTTGCTTCGGACTTGAGATTCTGTTTGGATTTCATGTTTAAGGTGTATTCATCTCAGTTAAATTTTGAGGAATCAAAGTGATGCTAATCATACTGATTTAGCGTTGTTTATTTTGATGTCCAGTTATAGTGAAGAATATATTCACAAGCATAAAATCGTAGCAAAACAAAAAAAAAATCACATGCATAAAAGAGACCATATTGAACGAGTTTCTATTGTTCTCTAAGCCAAGTCGAATTGATCGCTCTGCTTCTTCACTCTAATTATAGTAAAGACTGAAGAAATCGTTGGAATAAAGATTTCGATGAGCCCGGGACTCTTGCCCCAACCAGACTTTCTTGGCCTTGCAAAATACATGGTTTTCAAGGTGAACCAGGATGATGCATAACGGAATATAAATGGGAAATTATTGATTAAATTTAAACAAACTAGACCAATCAGGGTTTTAAAATTATTTTTTTCATGTTAAATCTTGTGGAATCGTTGAACAGAGAGTGTGATTTAACTAAAGACTGTTATTGGTAAAATCTTGTAATCATGCTAATTTAGGAATATTAGTAATGATACTTTCAGTGAGACTTTTGTTACAACATTTTTCTTAAACGGACCAAAGTATTTATGTGGTTGATTTTACGATTGGATAATGGAATGTAGGAGGGTCTTGAATTGGACATTTGCATATGGATACTACCTTGCTCATAATGAACATGCAAAGACACAATTTTTTCGAGTATTTGAAAGAAGCTTCATCATTGTGCAGAGATGTAGTTGGAACAGTTTGTCTCCGGAACTAATGAACCATCCAAAATTTTCAATGATTTCGGTTGACTAAAGTAACCAAACCTACTTCGAAAAACACGTGAAAGCTTTGGAGAATGGTCTTGCTGATGTGGAACACAATGAGAGCACAAATCAACAACAGACTCTAGATCTTCTTTCAAATGACAAAGGTTGACAAGGGTCTAAGAAAGATCCAAGTGGTAAGTGAGAGATCTTTCAGCTTCAGATTTATATTATTGGTGCAAAAAAACCATATGGTTTATTGCAAGTGGTATTTTCCAAATTAAGGATCATATCAAGTATTCGGTTTACAATTCGGAGGGACATGTGAAAAATTGTAAGTTTATAGTATTGAGAAGCTATTGGTTAAGATAAATAAAGAATAGATTTGTTTCCCCTAAAAAAAACCTATAGCATCACTCCGCTAATTAAAAGATTTTTACTTCTTTCAATGTCTTATAGAAAAAATAATCTCATTATGTAAATCTCAATAACAGAGTACATTGGTAAAGTTTTAAAAACCAGGAAATAGTCAAGATAATACCAGTAGGCACCTTACATAACGATCAATGGGAAAATGAGTAACTCCTATGCAGAGTCATCTCATTTATAATTGTTTAAGAATCTAATATTTTTTTAAAAAATAATTGGAAGAATATATGTCTCAAATAATAAATAATTCATTATGTGAAGATTATTCTTTCTACAAAATATAAGAAATGAATACAGTTCTAATTTTTATGATTAAAAATTAAAACATGTTTTAGTTGTTTGGATTTATATATAATTTTGAAATTACTTTTTAGGCAATAAAGAATAACAACTTTAAGAGTGACTTGGTTTCAGCTTCCAAACTATATTTCAACTTCGTTTTAAGAGGAGAGTTCATATTAGAATACTCGGATAATATGTGTCTATGTTATCTTTGTGCTTCACTTCGTAAGATTTTTTGAAATTGATCGTTTATACAAAGATAATCAAGCCTATAAAAGATGTGAAAATATACATCTGAAAATTTCCAAACTTCCAAAAATAAATAGTACAAGAAAATACGAAAAAGGAATAAAACTAAAAAAAAAAACACAAAGAAGAAATATGTTTATTTAATATTTTATGTAAAACAATAAAAAATTGGAAAATATAGACTATATAAAGAATAATAGGAAAAAAAAAATCGAAAGAACAAGACAAAAATAAATTGAAAGAAAAGATGATATTTCCGTCCGCGCAACGCGATTTTGAGTAAGTTTTTCAAGTAAATTAGCGATTTTGAGTAAGTATTTTTAATGAAACATTTCCGCTCGTACAAGGTGCGGGCTAAACACCTAGTATACAAAAATAAATCAAATATTAGTTATTTTGAAACGGATTGAATATACGAATTACCAACATTTTTTCAAAGATCTTATCGATGCACATAATCTTTAACATTTTTATAACATTACAAGACTTCAGTGTCTCACGAAAATTCCAATTTTTATCGCAGCCAGACATAATTTATTTATAGTTTATTACAACAACAACATATCATACTAAATATTGACCCACACATAAAGAGTTTCAGCATATGCAATCAGAAAATCATGTTTAGGCTAAATATATTGGCTCCCACTGGTGACCACAGAAATGTGGAAGAACACTTAATTCTTTTTCAATCCTATATAAATGTTTACTTTATGTATTAGTAATTCTTTTGTACATATATATAATTTCTTTTCATTTCAACTTTTTTAGGGAATAATAGAACAAACAGTATTTTTTCATCAAAATTGAGAAAAACAAACTTTGATCTATGATTTTTTGTTGTTGTTGTTGTTGTTGTTGCAGTGTCTATTATAGTATGTTTTAGGGAATAATAGATCAAAATAAAGAAACAAAATTTGATCTATGATTTTATCCCTCTCAATAATGTTCCATTAATGATCACTATTCAGAGCTTTAATGTTCTTTTGATCCCGAGGACAATCACTCATTCTTTTCCATTTTATTTTTGTCTTCGAAAACAAAGAACACTGAAATTTCTATTTTTTTCTGAATCATTTTCAAGTAAACGTGTTGCAAACAAATACTTTTTTTTTAATTAATCTCTTAAGTTTAACACCCATTTACAGGAATTTTCCATTAGAATCATTCATGCATATTTAAGCTTCAGATGCGCACCATTCCTCGTTAATTAATAATATAGATTTACTAATCCGAAGAATGACTTATATTTTTCATTCGTGTTTCATAACCATTGTTTCTAGTTTTATAGGTTATTTACTAACTACTTAGTGGTTACTTAATGACATACAACATAAACTCTTTTTACCCTAAATCGATTTGAATAGAAATCAAATATTAGAATATGGCAATCAAAGCAAAAGTTTGAAAACGAAATCCTCCAATTTAAGAAAGGCGTCTGAAGAAGATAACGACAGTTGGACTTTCTCGTTTTCGGTAATAAAGTAAATGTTTGATATTAAAGCTATTTACTAAGATTATCTGATTTAGGATGAAGGATATAAATCAATTTAAAAATCCCATAATCACGCGATACACACGAAACGCATAAATAGTAGTGTACATCAAGCTTTGGTTCCACCACATTCATTGTTTCTGACAAATTATAAACAAAAAAAACTGAGAGTCACACTATGCCCGTCTTCCCCGCCGCGATATCTATTCTCCTTCTCGTCCTGTCTGTTTCCTCTCCATCTATTCATGGAAAGTTGGCACCGACCACTGATTGCTCCGCGAAATGTTTGTCTTTCGTGACGATCGGGAGCCAAGTGGATAAACCGGACATGGAGTGCTGCTCTGGTCTGAAGACGGTGCTCGACTCCAACGCCGAATGTCTATGCGAAGGGCTAAAGAACAGTGCCTCCTTTGGAGTCAAACTGAACGTCACTAAAGCCTCTACTCTTCCCGTCGCTTGCAATCTCACTGCTCCTCCGGTGACCGCTTGTGGATGTGAGATTTTTCTTCATCTCTTTCTCTCTCATTCTCCTTTCTATTTCTCATTTTTGTAGATCTCTGTTTTTTATTTTCCTGGATATTTTGTAATGAGTTTTTTTTTTCCTGATGATCTCTGATTTTTGTTGTTGTTGCAGTGTCTATTAATCCTCCTGCTAGTGCGCCAGGTATTTGTCTTTCTCTTTGTTGCTTTCACTCTATATCACTCTTTAATTTGTTTGATTTTTTTTCCCTTACATGTCAATTGTCATACCTAAAAATTATTTACTTTTGTATTAACAATGACCAATTTTCTGATTGTTGAAGTTCTTTTGGTCTAACAAAATGTCTGATTTTTTTTAATGCTTAAAATATGCTTTGGTTGGCGTTCTAATTCTAACAATAAATTAGGAGAATTGTAAAAGTCTGTAGCCATCATAATTAATAATTTGGTCTTTTTACCCTCTTAAATAGTAAATAGTTAGACGGGGAAAAATGATTGACGCTGATTCGACTCCAACCATAATGTTATGAATACAAATGGTTTGAGGCTGATTCGTTGTTTGATCTGACCATCACTACATAATACGATACTATCAATCTTAAAGCTAGTGCCTTGAATTGTGTAACTACATGAAAATGGCTTTGTTAAAACGTTTAAGTTTTGAATTTGGATCATATCGATTAGTTTTGTGAATTCCCTCCATTCTCTCTGCATATTCTGCAAAGCTTGAAGATGTATCAAACTTAGTTATGTGTTTGTGATTATTTATTTCCTAAGTTAAATTCTTTTATTTTATTTGCAACAGCTCCAGTTCCTGCTGCTGGAACACGATCAGGAACACAATCAGGTTTAGGACCAGCTTCTGCTCCAGCTCCAAGCCCATCTCAAGGGAACTATGGGTCTTCGGTGATCTCAATATCTAGCTTGTCATTTGTAATCAGCGGCACATTGGTTATATTGTTCTCTCTTATTTAAAAGTCGAGGATGTCCTTTTAATTTTTTAGTTTACTATATATGCAGTTCTCTTTCAGAGACCTTAGACCATCTGCAGTGGGAGTCTCTCACCAAGTTTCTCATATTTAAAATAAATAAAAATAATAAGAAATCAAGAGAAGAGAATGAAGTGAGTCTTTCATTTGAAAGACTCTGAGAGATTTATGAATGACTTTCAAACCATATGTCTTTTATGATTGGTTATATCCTTTTTAAAAATTAAAATTTAATACTAACAAATCTAAATTCTATTAAAATATTAATATTTCTTCACTACCAAAAAAATATTAATATTTCTTTGCTGAGAGCCTCTTTTTTAGAGACTCATGGATGCAGATGCCCTTAGCTTATTTTTAGTTATGATGTTATCATTAAGACTTGGTTTCAATGCGTGTTTTTTTACTCACTTTGGTCGTATTTATTCTTTGAGTTGACTGCTGGTGGTTGTTTCCAGATTGTGTTCCATTTAATCACAATGAGCCACTAAGCCACTAACCAATCTAACGAAGCTCAAAATCGAAGTATGAGACTAATCAAGAGTTAATTGCAACCTTCCTATGTGATTAGGAATAAAGTCATTAAGTTTAGTTAATTGAACATGGCTAACCACACTGTGAATCCAACTTTGAAGCCTTTTAAACTGTAATATCGACTATGGCATCAACTCATTTTTTTCTTTCGCTAAATGGCATCGATTCATTTAGCTAGAGTATTACGCGAAGAATCTAAGATTTGCATAAGCTTGTTAATTTCATAGGGTATATAGACCCAGATAAGGAATTTCCTTTGAAGATGAAGACTTTGGAGCCATTCAGCCATTGAGCCTCGAATAGTTGCTCCTCAAATTCAAAAGGTGGATAGATTAGATAGTAACCCGAGAGAGGTAGGAATGAAAGGATGAGCCATATAATCCGAGTTAAAATTTTAACCGGCTAGACTCGTAGACAAGTTCATGTTCATATATAGTGGGGGTCAGTCATCTAGAATTATTGGACCTTGGTTTAATTTATTCGATTTATTTTCAAATATATTATTTCATTTATGTGTTCCATGTTTTATATTCAATGTATATTAGGCTATTATGGGATACGATTTCTTAGTCAATTTGTAAATACCTGACAGATTTCATTCTTAATTAGTATATCCTTTCATTTTAGGAATACAGTACAAGTATTTTATACACTAGTTTATAGAAATATTAATAACTATTTTGAACAGATTATAAAACATTTGAACATGTCTACCAAAAATGCTAAAAAAAAAAAAAAAACAGTACATGATATAAGAGTAAACATATCAAAACAGAACAAAAAGAAATAAAAATAACACTATAACAGATAACCAAAACACCAGATTTATTACATCTTGTCTGAGATTATATCTGTTCAGAAGAATAACCATGGGACTCAAGCTCAACATTCCAAACACAAATGTTAACACACTGCCAATAGTCTTCTCCGTCTTTGTTTTTCTTATAATCCAAATCGCAGAAGCCAAGATTCATCATCATACTTTCACGGTATTGTAAAACAAATGTTAGTTTTTTTACAAAATTAAAAGAGATTAATAAAACAATCATATTACATATCGAACTTATCTACATGTAGTGATAAAGTCAAAAGCGTACACACGACTTTGTAACACCAAAAATATATTGACGGTGAACGAAGAATTTCCCGGGACCGACGTTAAAAGCCTATCGTGGAGATAAGCTCATTGTCAATGTCATCAATAACGCAAATTACAATATTACTCTGCACTGGTAAACATGAAATTTTGAACACATTTTAATTTCGCATTGGCTAATCAATGTTTACAAGGTATGGAGATCAGACATGTTTAACAATTTTAAGGCATGGAGTGAGACAAATCGGGAATCCGTGGTCTGACGGACCTGAATACGTGATTCAATGTCCAATCCGACCAGGAGAGAGCTATGCATATACAATTAATCTTACGACTGAAGAGGGCATGATTTGGTGGCATGCACATACCTAATGGGCATGTGCCTCCTTCCATGGAACGTTTATTGTCTACCCCAAACACGGCTCGTATTATCCTTTTCCCAAGCCTCACCACGAAATCCCTATCATTTTAGGTACACTAATTTACACTCTTTCCTTGTTAATACATTGTTCCCATACGGCATACTCCACTCAGTTCTGCAAATTATTTTGCTAAGTTTCCATCATTTTGCATTTTGTGACCAATCAGCATTTCAATGTTGTTAAATTGTTCATGGGTGTAACTTTAAGCGACAAATGGCAGGTGAATGGTGGAAAAAGAAAAACATTATGGATATACCAGAAAACGCTAAGAAAACCGGAGGTGAACCAGCCATCTCTGATGCATATACAATAAACGGACAACCCGGTTATCTTAACCCCTGCTCTAAACCGGGCAAGTTTCCACACACAAGCTCAAAATCCTTGATAATTTTGGGAGAATTGCTACAAATAGGCCACGATTTGAATTCAAATACAAAAGTATACTCCAAATTCAACATATTGCAAAAATATGTCAGATAGATAAAGAAATTACTATTATCTTCTACATGAGTAAACAAAAAAACGAATGACTCAGTTACGATTTTAACCCTGCGAAATCTGCAAATATTAATAAAATCTTTTCTGCAGACTTATAAAGAAGTCTGCTATATTATTAAATCTTATATTTAAATTTTAAAATTATATAAAAATAATTTAAACTGAAATTTGTATCTATAAATCAAATGTCAACAAGTATGATCGATATAAATTAGAATTTATTAAAAATGAATCATTTTAAACCATCTAAGATAAACATTAAAAGTAAATAATTATAAACTAGGGCTACAGACTTCTTTAGAAGTCTGCTGAGCAGGCTGTAAAGAAGTCTGCTATATTATTAAATTTTATATTTAAATTTTAAAATTATATAAAAATATTTAGACTGAAATATGTTTCTATAAATCAAATGTCAACAAGTATGATCTATATAAATTCGTATTTAATAAAAATGAACCATTTTAAACCAGCTAAGATAAACATCCAAAGTGAATAATTCTAAATTAGGGTTGCAGATTTCTTTATAATTTATAAGTCTGATGAGCAGACTGTTAAGAAGTCTACTATAAATGTAAACTGTATATTTAAATTTTAAAATTATATAAAAAAATTGTGAGCCGAAATTTGTTTTCAAAAATCATATATAAGCAATTATGAGGTTTATAAATAAAGATATAATATAACCGAATCAATTTAGAACAACAAATATAAACTTATTCAAAATGGAGTTTAATTTTGGGTTTGCAGACTACGGATCAAAGTCTTGTCAAACCGGAACAGAAATCAAATTAAATATTGATAGAAACTGGAAATAATTAACCTAACTGGAATTTTTTTAACATAGTATATAAAGAAACTTACCAGTTGTTACCATAAATAAAAACCCTAGATCAGTGTAAAACGGCGCTGCACTCTGGTCTCTCTCGCCGCGACTCTCTCTCGCAGTAAGCTTTTCCCGGCGCTCCCCATTTATTCTATTCCCCTTCCATCTATTGAACTCTTATATGGTTTCAGATGCAGATATCCGGCGGTGTCTTCATCCTCCTCTCGGCATTTTTCAGCTGGTAAGCCTTATTACTCACCCTCCTACCACATCTCTTCTTTTTCGTTTCTGATGCATATGTTGTTTCATATATCTCACTAGATATATTGTTGCTGCAGATCTCACCCGGCGTCTTCATCGTTCTTATTTATCTCTCCAGATCTGTGAGTTCTTCACCATTACATTCTCTGTTTAGTCTGTATCTTATTGTTTACTTGTTTGTCCTTTAAAATTTTTCCTTTAAAATTGTCTTTTTGCTTTACTATTTTTTCACAGATCTAAGCCCAATCCCGTGAGCAAGTAAGTAAAAATATTTGTTTATTACAAGATGTACGTTTTTTGTTATTTTGTTGTTTAGCGAGTAAAAAATACTTGTTTGGAAAGTTTGTTTTTGTTGTTTTGTTTTTTAGCTGCAAAGTTATTATTTTTTATTTTTTCTTAGTTGTTGTTTTCATGTCATTTTGTCCTTTAGCTTGAAGTCTATATATAATTTTTCCAAAAGCATGCATTTCTTACATAAAAAATCGTTTTAGCTGGAATGGGTCAATACAGCTACACTCAACCTTCAAGCAGCTCGAGAGAATGTATGAGTTCGACTGCTCGACGTCGATCTGGTGGAAATTTTGGATTTCCTATCCGTTGTTACTGCGGTTTGGTGCCAGTGCTCCAGACATCTTCCACAGACCTGAATCCAGGTAGAAGGTTCTACGGATGCCGTAATAATGAGGTAATAAGTCGTTTGCTGTATTGGTTTGTGAGAGTTTGTTGTGTTGAATATTTATGTTTGTGATTGTTTCCCTTTGTGATGGTTTGTGATGGGTTCTGAGTGTTTGTATAGGATGGTGGCTACCATATATTCAAGTTGTGGGATGAAGCTATGACCGAGGAGTTTCAAGAGCTTAGGTTGGTTGTGGAGCAACACACAGACTCCATTCGTTACTTCAAAATTGGTGATTGCAAAGCTGTACAGAATTGTATTGATAAGCCAGCAATGGAGGCAATGCGTCGCAGGATCATGAGCTTGAATGCAGATATAGCACAACTAGGGGACCAACTTTTGGAGTCATGTTTTGGAGGCTTGAAGTTGAATCATGCGATGGTGGCTGGTGCAATCCTGATTGTTGTTATTGTCTTTCTTGGTGTTTGTTTAACTCGATCATAGTTGTTCTCGAAAGAGAATATGTATGAACAAATGTTAAATTATGTAAACTATGTTTCTGACATATTTGTTGACTAGCAGACTTATTATGCAGACTTATTATGCAGACTTCTTATGCAGACTTACTAAGCAGATTTTTTATGCAGACTTAATACATAGATTAAACTAAACCCGATAGTTTTAAAATTATATTGCAAACCAGCTATACAAATTTAAGGCTAAACCAATTGCGTTTAAAAAAAAGTACGATAAACCAAATCTAATCGATGCTACTGGATCGAATTGAACCGGTACGACGGTTATTGAACC